GTGATTGGTCCACGGACCTTAATATTGAATTTTGACAATGAATAGTGACGCCGTACTTCAATCCTTATAGACGGATCAGGGGGCCAATAAAAAGTAAGATAAAAAGGGAGAAGAACAGAAAGTAGAAAGAAGCACGGTACTCCAACAAGCTAATTTTCTATGCCTATTGTTTCAATGTCTAGTCAAGCGCTTCTAAACAAAAAGACAGCCCCGTCCCACCCCACCCCCACCGACACTTCGCCGTTTGCATAGCCCCAACCAATATTTTTCTCTGAATCCGTCCCTGAGTCGACCTTTAACCTGGGTTTTTTTTTAAATAATATAATTGCGGTCTGGGGTATCCTGTTTCAGAATATTGTATTGAGCATAAGTTTGAAGCTACAAACGATTATACCTTAAAGTAGTTTTCCAGACCAAGTTACATTTAAAGTAGATTTCATTTGTCAATGACGGAACTAAATGATAGTGAATAGCAACAGGAAAGATAAAGAGTGCATTATAACCTAGAACCGGCACCCTGTCTCTTATACACATCTAAGTGTATATATATACATATATATAACCAGGGAGGAGCACAAGTATTTTTATCAGTTTAAATTTCACATAATTGTGCGGTGTTATCCAGTAACTTCTATTATTTAAATACAATTTTATTATTTGATAAGTTTGTAAATAGAATTTAAATGTTTGACCTTATCAACTTTATTAATATTTACAATTCTATGATGTTTTACGGATTTATTTTTATATTTTTTAAATTTTTGTATATTGATTGTAATTCAGGGTTGAAGCTGTCAGTTGAGATCAAATTGAATTGAATTGGTCATGTTTCAAGTTCAATAGATATATGTATAGAGCTCAGGATGTTTAAATTTTCAATAGGCATTATGTAAACTCGAGTTTGATTTCAACTGATGGTGGCTTATTTGTCACTGCTCAAACGACTTAAATTGCCTATACATTAATCACTATATATTTCTCTGGAGAAATAGATTTTCAGAATGTGTTTTTAGGCCAGATGTTAGTAAATTGTGCCTTCCGATTCCTCACAACCGGAACCTTGAACGCCTTTCGTGCTACGTACGTCTACCAGCACTTTGATTTTATGGCGGCATAAGGCGTTGATGAGCCTTATTCGACTTCAAAAGATGGTGGTTTAAGTATTGACTTAGTCAACTTTAGAAGAAATATATTTTTTTATTATGGAGAATAGGGTTCAGCTCGTATAAATCTATCACTGGTAATTAGTCAACTGTAATCCATAATTGTAGCCGTCAAAGAGCAAAGTAATAAAACATAACAAGCCGTATAGCTATAGGCCCACAATTACTAGTTAAGAGAACCCAGTAAACCTACTCCTTGCAATCAGAGTCAAACTTTAACATTACAATACCTCTAATTCCGTGTTGGCCTCGTTCATAGCGATGTTTCTTTGAATAAATTATAAACATAGTATAATATTATGGGCTACAAGGGAAATATTTTCTGAATGTAGTATACTTCTGGGCCTCACTTCAATCAAACAAGAGCATCAACAGTTCAAACGCACTGTGATTGGTCCACGGACCTTAATATTGAATTTTGACAATGAATAGTGACGCCGTACTTCAATCCTTATAGACGGATCAGGGGGCCAATAAAAAGTAAGATAAAAAGGGAGAAGAACAGAAAGTAGAAAGAAGCACGGTACTCCAACAAGCTAATTTTCTATGCCTATTGTTTCAATGTCTAGTCAAGCGCTTCTAAACAAAAAGACAGCCCCGTCCCACCCCACCCCCACCGACACTTCGCCGTTTGCATAGCCCCAACCAATATTTTTCTCTGAATCCGTCCCTGAGTCGACCTTTAACCTGGGTTTTTTTTTAAATAATATAATTGCGGTCTGGGGTATCCTGTTTCAGAATATTGTATTGAGCATAAGTTTGAAGCTACAAACGATTATACCTTAAAGTAGTTTTCCAGACCAAGTTACATTTAAAGTAGATTTCATTTGTCAATGACGGAACTAAATGATAGTGAATAGCAACAGGAAAGATAAAGAGTGCATTATAACCTAGAACCGGCACCTAACGACGCCAAGATCTTTCTTTTGATTTCAAGAGTTCATGGGTCCCACTATGCAACAATATGGATGGAAAATGATACAGCAGATAACAGCAAGATACCAGGCATATTGCTAATAATAACGACTATGAAATTTTAAGCAAAATATCAAAATCTTACAAATGTTCATTAATCTTTTTTCTTTCTTTAATTCTTTTTTTTTTTTTTTTAAGTTCGATTGTGCGTCTGGATGTTTTTTCTCAGCACATGACAGGGTGTGCTCATTGTTGGCTAGAATTTTCCCAAATGCCAGCTTATGAATGTTCTAAATCTAATAGCCTGGATTGTCACTGAAATTCAAATGAACAGAGTATCATACATTCTGTGGTCAGCGTTTAGCAGGCGCATGAACCAACTGCTCTGAAGAATAAATTAGACCTCTTTCATTCAATGCCAACATTGATAGTACTATCAAAACAGACACATTTGCAGCGCCGAAGGGGGAGACATTGTACTAAATATTATGGAAAAATTACATACAATTTAATAGATAGGCCTAATACGTGCATAGAAAAGATACTTTGATAGTAGATTACTCAGTTTTCAGCATATGAATTATAGCTACCGTGCTTTTTAAACTCAGTTGTGTCAACACTATTAAATATATTCATAAACATATTCATGATGGCGGTCGTGACGTGATGTCAACATGACCATATTCTAGGCATGTCAATATGTGAGAGTCTGGACTTAGGATAGGCCTATATTTAGTATATTAATGTTACATTTACGATACTCATCTTGCCATGACCTCTATGTGCTTATCACAGTATTACCCCAGATCATGTCATATGGAAAGCAATGCAGTAATAAACAGCGCATTGGTGCTTGAACTTTCCATGTAAAGCCGGTTTTCTACTAGACGAATTTATTCGCGCGAATCGAAAGCCTCGTTCATGCACATGCGGATTCACATTTCTGTCGGAGTTTTGCTTCAGCGAAATTAGTAGTTCAAACTGTTTCTACTTTTGGCGAAGCGAAAAATGTGCGCAACCAATCAGAGCTCAGAAACCGAACCGACGCCTTCGATTCGCGCGAATAAATTCGCCTAGTGGAAAACCAGTTTTCCCCACTAGGCGAATTTATTCGCGCCAATGGAAAGCGTCGGTTAATGCGCACGTGCATTCACGTTTCTATCAGAGTTTTCGCTTCAGCGAAATCGGTAGTTCGAACTGTTTCTACTTTTTGCAAAGCGAAAAAAATGTGCAACCAATCAGAGCTCAGGAAGCGAACCGACGCTTTCCATTCGCGGGAATAAATGCGCCTAGTGGGAAGGCGAATAAATGCGCCTAGTGGGAAACCACCTTAACTTGTACTCCTGGAGAGAGATAAAACAGTAGGTGAAGTACCTTCAGGGAAAAGGGACGGACTCAAGTGAAATTTACAGTGAGGGGGTCGAATCCCCCGTCTTTAATGTTGAACTGCCTGCTACTGCAGTGCAGCGCTTTCACACACTTACTACGACCAAAATTATAACATATCATTCCATAAATTCTGAAGATGCTGGAACTTGATTTGTGTATGTATTCTAATATTTAATTTACTCTGGCTAAATTTGTGTTAATTCATTAAATAACGGGATAGAAAAACAATTTTTGCTAGTTGCAGGCACACTTTGGAAAATTTGAATTCGAACAGTGGATGATATATGTTAGCCAACCTATACCTAGCAAGCTAAACCTTGGCAGATGATAGATTATATAATATTCTTCTACACTTTTGAGTACCAAAAATAATGAAAAATAATTAAGTAGAAAAAGTTGACGTGGGTATTGTTATAATCCCTATAATTCTAAGAACTCGACGCAACGATAGAGGGCGAGTGCTAAGAATCCTTTTTGATCCTATGATCATGGAGGTATTCTCAATAATACCATAATACCTCCATGCTATGATGATGAATATTTATATTTAATAGCTCTATGTTTTTTCCAGATCATTGGTGCAGGTCAATCACAACAATAACATGACCTTAGATATGGATGGTCATAGTTTTGCTGAAATTTCTGAAATATACTGCATAGTATTTATTTCGTTTATAATCTTGACATTTTGTATAGTACTGGGCATTTTCAAAAGGTAGGATGTCCGTATAAAGTGTAGGCCCCTAGGCCTAGGCCTAGCCTACCCTAGACTAGGCCTTTCTCTCTCTAGGCCTAGGCCTAGTCTAGACGGGCCTAGGCTTACTTATCCTCCTAGGAGGCCTAGGCCGGTTAGTCTAGTCTAGCCTAGGCTACGCCTAGTTTAGTAATATCTTACTTGTATTCTTGGGCCGTTGTGAAGCATGAATGCTTATATGGCCCACTCTTCCTCAGGTCATCATACTACTTTGTTGTGGCGTAAAATTTGAATGGGTGCCGATCCATTCCATGTGCTAGGCCCTAGCTAGCTAGGTAAAAATTTGATGGATTTCACAGATTTCACTGTCAAATTTGCTGTGAGTTTTTTTATGTAAATCTAAATAAAAAGTCTATTCCCCAACCGCAGTAGGGGGTTACGTTTTAGTCGCTAATTTAGGATTCATGCATCCCTAGTCAACACCGGTCGAGTTTTGGTCATCTTGGACTTAAGCGCCTCCTATAAAACTTTAATAAAACTAGCAATAGTAGCCTAGGCCTAGAGAGCAAAATGAGGCTTAGCTTGCTACTGCTAGTACAAGGTTAGTAGTAGGCTAGATTGGTAGGTTGGCTACCCTAGTCTGTTAGCTTAGGCCTGGGATATAGAATTCCTAGCAATAGCCTAGCCTATATCGTGGTAGGTTGAGTTAACCATATTTTCTCACTGGCTTCCTTTTTTGAAATCCTGTTTCATAATATTAAATTTAGTGCTTATGCTTTTGAATTTTGTAATATTACTTCTAATGTATTTTGATTCAATTTTTCCATTATATCTTTTGTAAAGCGTTGTTTGTTTGTTTTAATTTAAATAGCGCTATGTCAAAGTTGCTTCCCACATGGGCCGTTGGCTACAAATTGTGTGAGGTTTGACCCATTAGGTCAATTGTAAAGTGCCACGACCTCTCCAGGAACTACACAAAGTTGGCTCTATGCAGGATCTGGAAATATGCTTGACTGCACAGATGTGCACCCTCCAATTGCCTATTTATGACTTGGCTGAATAAACCCTTATGGTCTTTTGGGCATAACGCATCCTAAAAGTTTTCAAAACATCACCACGGCAGTGGTGGCCCCAGGGTCCAGTACCAATTGTCCCTCTGCAACATCAATGAGTGGATGGTTGGAAGCAGGGGATGAGCTAGAGGGGTTCATCAGCAAACTGGGAAATACCCAGCCATCTGAAAGTTTCGCCCCAAGAAAAGATATTTATTCATTATTAATTTTATCTAATTTATTTTTTTTTTTTTTTCATTTACAAAAGGCAAGGACTGACGCCAGTAATCAGGCTCTCCAGTCAATCTAGCATCATGGATTATGAAATGCCTGGCACAGTGATGGTTGGTGTTAGTAATCCATACGTACTTAGAATATTACAACCTGAAAAGGCTACTTTGAAAGGTGAGAGATCCAGAAGAACAATGAAGAGGATGAGGATGAATTTCAAAAAGTTGATATATTTTTAAAAAGTTGCAGATATGCCACAACACTTGTAATTTTAAACAGTGATACCTAGGAATAGTTCTTTAGGTTTGCACTTAATGCAGGAACGGATCTGGGTTCAAATTTGTTATTATATATTATTATTATTTATTTTTGTATGCGTAGTAACTTACGAATAAAAAAATATTAATAGTCTTAAATTTCTTATTCTTCAGATGGCGTACAGTTGAAACTAGAGTCTTCAATTTCTTGCAAGATAACCAGCTTCTGGGGCTTGGATTGTGAGGTTTTAAAAAATATTCTTTGCATCCGGAAAAAGCGACTAATTGATGCCGATTGTATGGACATCCTTACAGATAAAGCAATTGCCGTTAACCCACCTGACTAGTATCCTTAGGTGTGCAGAACCTTTAGGTTCTGTATATACCAATATCATCACTCACCATTTTATCTTTATTGGTTTTTTTTTCTAGCAATAGGCACTAGGGCCAAGGATATGCCAGACAGTGAACTTAATCACTCTTAATCACTCTTCAAAGTGGCAATCACAAGACAAGCATACACACAAAATGCTATACATAAACTATGTCTCATTACGAGGCTCAGGGAGGGGAGTTATTTTGGTTGTTAGAAAAAATTGAACCCATCACCATGAAATTGAAAAGCCAGCTTCTTTAACCACCAAGCTATTCAGCTCCACTCCCTATTCACCTCCGTTCCACTCCTTTTCTTTTGTTTTTTTTTTTTGTTGATATTTTTAAAAATACATTTCTTTTTCCTTTGGTATTAATGTTAACTGCAATAACCTGTCTCTGATATAATCTTAATTCCTAAACTCTATACTAGTCTTGAACCAGATGAAACAAAAGTACTGCATTTGATGACGTGTGCGCTACAGAATGATGGTGATCAATTAGGACCACCGCCAAGACGTCGATACCCACTTGTAATCATAGTAACTGCTACTGAAAATCAGCTAGAGGCTGAACAATCAGCAGCCATTGTAAGTTTTTAACTGAACTATGCATTCAGGGGTAGACATTCCTCCGCTAAGTCCTATCTACTGACCCATATACCCCACTTTACTGAACTCTCCATACAGGGATACAGTTGAGATCTTACTTTGCCAAGGTCCTAGTGACCTGCATACCTCCGCCTTACTGAACTATGCATCCAGGGGTGTGATGTTATTCCACTAAGGTCTTAGTGATCTGCATACCTCAGGCAAACTTAACTTTGCATTCAGGGGTAGTGAAATTACTCAACTAAGGTCTCTCAAGTTGGACATTTCTGGTGTTGTCAGGGATGGTCAGCACAGTGATCCTGTGAATTATGTTTTCAGCTCGGTAGCTCTCAAAGTGCAGAAGAATGAACATTGACGATACCATAAAACCTTGAATTGAAGTCTTGGGCTCATTTTTTTTGTTAACTTTGGATGGACTTTTTTTCAAAATGTGCTTCTTTTCAAGGCTACATTTACAAAGTAAAGAGGGGGGGGGCACTTCTTTTCAAAATGAATGCTGTAAATTTTAGGAATTACTACTATAAAACAATAAATAGGGCCACTGTAACATCAATCTGTATCATGGAGTGTATTACCCAGCATTAAATCACCTTAAGTACTGTATAAAGCAAGCATGTTTTTAATTTATTTTGTTTCTTTGAAATTCAGGTACAGTGTATGTACTTTACTATCTCGAAAAAACATTCAAGTTTTCAAAATAGCATGGGATTCTCTTTGAGGCTACTTTTGCAAACTGAAGAGGGGCTTCAATCAATTCGGGATGGGCTTTTTTCTCAAGATTAAGGGCATTAGGCTTCTAGGTTTTACGGTATCCTGATAGCCCTCAATACTATTTTGGTTTGCTTGTTTCATCCGCCATTATCATTTTTTGGTTGGTCACAAGGGAATGGAATACTGATTATCAGCACCCTGATTTGAATAATTTATTGCTGAACCATAAACAGATTTTTTGTTCACTTTTCAGGAATCTTTGGTTGGGATAATTCACCTTCCAGACGCAGCATACAGTGTTCCTTGTCACATGATCTCTCAGTTACTACAAACAAACACGAAGCATGTTTACGACTTACAGGTTCGTCAACTTCTCTTTACTTTTTGTTATTATGGGTTCGGTTTGGAACAGCAGTTGCTTGCAGGCTCTTGATATCAAGGTCAGGGGTGAATTCTGCCAGTGTTTTAAGGCATTGGCACTTTACCTACATAATTTCTTCAATAGAACTGTTTTAATTTAGAGTTGATAATTTACATGAAAATATACAAATTATTATTACTGTATTATTATATGTAAACTTACTGCAAACTTTCATCGATGTTATCAAAATGACTTCGTCAGGCTATGTGAGCTAGCAACCATTTTTTTAAAACAATGCCTTCTGGTGCCAGCTCTCTTCCTGTCAGGATAGGTTCCGGAGACCCCAGCAATTCAGGGTGAAGGAGTTGGTTATAAATTTGGGAAAGCTCGTATGCTCTGTCGTCTCTGTTCATCGTTTGTTTTTTTCTCCTTATTGAGATTGCCCCCTTGATTGTTCTCTTGTCCTATGTTGATTATTTTGGTGTTGTTCACACAGTTCTTAAAACAACGGATGCACGAAAAGCCTGACGAAGTCACGTTGATAACATCAACGAAAGCTTGTAGTAAGTTTACACCAATCATAAATTGTGCTGGGTTTATTGTCGATGAAACAGTTCCACAATCATAATAAGCAAACCAGATGAACAAATGTATTCAAATAATTATTTTCATTTCTATTTAACAGAGAATGTACATAGCTGCAGATTCAAATGCTGGATCAAATCAAATAGGCAATGAAACCGAGAAGAAAGAAGAAACATTGGGCGACTGCACTGTGTGCCAGACTGCCAGAATAACCCGTGTCATACTACCTTGTAAACACGCTTGTTGCTGCGACTCCTGCTTCCCTCTACTGAACATGTGCCCGATCTGCCGTGGCTACATCTGTTCTTACTTCCGTTTAGGGAAAGAACCAGGGAAAGAGGATGATGAAGTAATTGATGACAATAGTTTACTTGGAAGGTTTTACAAATTTAATGATTGGTTAAATACTTCTCTTGGTTTCACTTAATATTTCTTTTAGAATTTATCAGTTAGTTTTGTTTAAAGAAATGATCTTTTATTTGTGGCTTTGTAGACAGGCTTCCTGGAAATACATTGTCTTTTAAGATAGTTTTAAAAACAATCTGAAAAAGAATTTTGAAGTGCTGGTAGGCAATGTTTGAAGAACATTAGGTATTGTGGAAATGAAACTCTATAGTAAATACACTGCACGTATGGTGTTGGCGTGTTACGCTTGTTTTACATGGTTGGTGACAGATGTTACCTGTGTATACAATTAGAAAAATTTAAATAATTTTTGTGCAATTTGGCCGTGCTGTGCAATATTCTAAACGATAATGAATAGCAGCAAATGGTTCACAGACAATTGCGCAGCTCACCAAACAATTACGCCGATAATTGTGGGTAAATGTCTATTTGATAATTCAGATGGCCAGATGGCAGAAATGAAGCTTGCTTTCACATAAATAATCATGTTTTTGTGATCCCAGTTAAAGGGTTGCACAAGAAACATGGTTTTTAACATTTAAAATCATATTTTAATGATTAAAAGAAATGTAATGTTACTGTACCATGAATACTAATTTATTATATTATATTGTAAATTTATAAATATCTGGCTGTATAGAAAAACCATTTTAATATTAGGAATCACTGGTACTGTACTTCACAGTAAGGATGTAAAGGTCAAAGGGTAATTAAGTAAAAATATATTGCCTGTGTAGAGTTAATATATTTTACAATAAAATTCATTATTTGAATTGCTTGTCCGTTGTATAATTAAGGAAGTTATGTAAATGTAAATCGATTTATATAGCGCTTTATACCGGAGTCTCAAAGCGCTGTGGACTAGCTCGTACAGTAACTTTCTTCTCCCCTAAGGGTCTCTTCATGTCTGAGCTACCCGGTAAACTGGTACCAGCTACACTCGTCTGTCCACAAGAGGGGCTGGCTGTATGGACCAGTACACCGGGTTAACCCCCTACTCATCTCGAAAGATGTACTGGGTTTTTTTAAATGCGCACAAGGCACATTATGTACACTAGGCCTACGGTTTATAGTCCTTATCTGAGAAGAATTCTTCCACCACCAGAACCATAGGCGTTCGAACCAGCGCCAACATTTTGGCTGTAGGTTGCGTCACCACTGCATTAACCGCTTGGCCATCCAACTCACCAGTTATTGTTTTAAAGACAAAATGAGAAAATAATTTCCTCACTGATTAACCAATAAAATAATGATATACCATATATTATCACATGTAAGACGGTCTAATCTTCCAAATACCGTAATACAGTTTTAAATGTTGCATCAAAATCTTATTTCCCCGCATTTAAAATTGCACTCATTCATACTAATAGCTGTAGCTTTATTTCAGAAGTAAATTTGCATGTTATGGACGATCTGCATGCAAGACCAACATGCGTGAATAAAACCACCCCCTGTTTTTCGATCGTAATTTGTTATTTTGAGCCTCATCTCTACGCGAGAATATACGGTATTTATTACTAAAGCAATAAAAATGACATGCTTTTGGAAATTCATGTAAATGGAGTTTACTGGGTTCGACACCTGTGACGGTAACAGAAATTTTTCCCATGACCAGAAAACAACTCCATTCGCTCAAGTCTCATAGTAATAATTTGGTCTATGTAGAGCATCTGGTCTTCTGATTATCGGAGGGCGGAATAAAAATCATAATAAAATTTTGTTTTCTTATTTAGCAAATAGTTTTGCCAAAATCATCCAGACGGAGGAGAAAGTAAATTAAAATTTTATTGGTGAATGTAAAATAGGATGGTTAAATGCTTCAAATTTACATAATTTGGAAGAAATATACATATCTTATCTTTGGAGATTTCAAGGCAGCTGCGGAAGGCATAATAAAAGTTTTTAAAAACGTTAATTTTTTTCTGAAATTTCCACTCTTTCATTGCGGCAGATGCACTAATTGGCCAAAAATGAAATTTTATTTTTATTTGAAATCATGTATATGTGCAGTCGGCGGGTTCGCTAAACAAGGTATAAAAAACGTCTCGCTTTAGACACAAAGAATTTCATAGTCAATTTCAAAGTGTCATCACCTTAAGAAGAGCCTTGAAAAGAAACATAAATATTAGATTTTACTTCCTTTGTTCTAAAAACCTGAAATGTCCGGTCATGCCATTTTAAAACAACGTACACAGAAACTAAGAACAAACAGAATGATTTTGAACGCAATTTAATGCAAAAAGCAAAAGGATCACAAGACCTGTTATTTTTTTCTGATTATAATGCAATGAACAAATAGTGATACCGAAAATTCCTATCTAATAACAAGATTTGTTTAAATATTACCCAGTAGAGATCTAAACAAAAACAAAACAATAAACACCTCTTGCTAAACCGTCAACATCTAGCAAGATCAGAAAGTAAACAGGCTCGTAACTAGAAGGCATTTCTATGGTTTGACCGACACCCCCTTTTTGAGTGAACTCCCTTTGATAAACCGAATCACCACCCACCCCCTGCATCAAATATCATAAAAATGATTATAAAGATTACAATTTATATAATAGAATGTCTCAGCTGCATGGGGGACCTTTGATCCCCAGAGCTCTTCCTCTTGACCACCACCAGGGGACTAAGGCGCCCCCTGGCTTTCATAAACCCAACCATCTTAGTTACAGGCCTGATTAGCAGTGACAGTGGTAAAAAGAAAACATGCATATAAATCGTGTGCAAGTACCCTTGTTAACACCACAAGATGGGTAGTATAATTGACAGAGATTAGATACAGTATTCCTTACTCTCTGTGACAGCCATTTAAATACCCATAGGCTATAAAACACAAAGGCTGTGGGCCCCAGAAAAAAAAAAAAAAAAAGACATTCTTTTTCTGTGTAATTTTAAAATGATATGTAATGTTAACAATTCTAAAGACTTGACTGAACTTTCACTTTTGTAATTTTCAGACCTTTTTTGTTTCTGAACTTTTTTATAATTTATCCTCTTCTCCAGTAGTTATAAATATTATTTACCAAAATAATGATACAATCATGCAAAGGTACAAGTTTTACTTTGATATGTTTTGCCTTATTGTCATGCATTAAGCAATATAAAAAACCCTGATTATTACGATAACAAGCCATGTACTAGTACATTTTTGTTCGTGTTTTGAGCAGATCCTTGTCAGTAAATGGGTCGTCACTTGAGGGCGTGCTTTTAAATACAGCCAGTCCTAAGCATTTTAATGTTTTTTCAGTTAATTACTGTGAGTAAATATATTTACGATGTGCAGAATCTGGGCATATGCCACTATGCAATCATAGTTCATCAATGCCAAATAAATACTTTTTTTTTTAAAAGTTCAAACAGTCAAACATAATTCTGTAAAACGGTGGAACTGTTGTATCTATTGAATAAATTAATTGAATCAAAGAGGTAAACAATTTATTTTTTTCTTTTCAAAGGCATTCAAGTTTATGAACCAACCAATCATCAAACAATGGCCCAATTCACCTTCCTGGTTCATCAAAGCCAAATTTAAAAGGCCCCCAACAGTCATATCGGACTGAAGGAGGCCAAACAGCAAGTCAATATAGCATCATCTTGCATAAGACTTAATCACCTTTAAAACTGAGAAAATAAATCGTATCTCTTATATCATCCTGGTGTCAGTCTCAATATTTTAGAGGATCACTTCAACACCTCAATATGCTTGAAAAATTTACCACAGATATCATACAGTGGCTAGTATACAGATCTTGTAAAATATTTTTTCATTACCTTTTAGGACTATAAACATGTGCAGAAGTGTTATAAATAAATCACCCACAAGCCACCCTCACATATTTAAGTCATCCACTAATGGCAGATTGATATGTAAATTTATGCAAATCATAGCAACGTTATTCACGAATACACCATATTATCCTCAAAATGGAGCAGCATCACCAGTTGGAAATTAACATACAAAATTTGTTCTAAGTGGAAAAATACAGTTTAAACATAATTGATAATTCTTTACAATTTGTTAAAACCCAAATTTCAAAGACATTATAATTGACAAAAATTTAATAATACTAAATAGCCATTCTGCGAAAACTCCTGATGTACAAGATATTTGTCACAAATATACTTTTTTCTAAAGTGATGAGACAGTCTTTTAGTATGATCAACATACAAAATAAGACAGCTCCAGAGTTAGAAAAAGAAATCCAAAAACCACAGATTATAACATATAACTCATTATATAATAACAACAATAACAACATTATTAAAAATAGCAGCACCTAATGAGGAAAATATGAAAGTATTTTATTACCGATATTTAATCGAGCTTTCAGAATTTCATATTGTAATTAAAACAAAAAACTTATTACTTTATAACTTTTATATTGATTTGATTTATATATTTATCGTAAATAATCCAATAAGTGCCGCAGTTCTTATACAAATTTTGTGAGGCTTCAACGCACCACTCTTATAAAAAACGTTGGAGGCTTGAGCACAAAGCTTATTAAAGAGAGGCGTTCAGTGAAGAGCAGCAGCCATTACTAATTATTGTAGTGTTAAAACAGTGGTATGTACTTGACACTGGCATTTGCATTGTTGCAAAGTTAATATTTAACTCACGAGAAATTGGTTATTTAATAGCATCACAAAGTATGTTGGTATGGACTTTTGATTACACATTGCACTGTTTATTCATAATAGAATACATCTAAAAAACACAAGAGTGCATATATGAGAGCTGTTATAGTATAAAAATCATATTTGGTGAAGCGTTTATTGGATCATTTACGGTATTATTAGCAATTATGAATCACTTTTTTGAATGAAGGTTAATATTTTCAATTCTTTTTTTTAATAAAAAATTTGATTTTACCAGGGAGCAGTCATATGTAACAAAAATTAAAATAGACTAGAGATGTCGTAAGGAATATATCCAAAGAAGCTATAAAAGTGTATAAATTTAACAAAGAAAACCCAAAACATACATTTCAACATTAACTTGTTGAAAGAAGATACAGTGCAAATGACATTCGGAAGGAAACATGTCCACCAATTCTTACTAATAAAAATAGTTTGTCCTGCAAATGTTAATAAAGTTACTAGAGCTCTGCATATAAAATATCAGTCAAAACATTGTGGCATCCATAATAAATTCATTAAACTTGATTCAAATTTGAACTTTCTTTCACCGAGCTTATGTTTGGCCGAAAAGGTTACTAATTTATTCTATCTTTCATTTTTTGTTTTTGTTTTTGGCCAGCAAATCTATAGACTCCTTCCAGAGGACATAAAAAATATATCAAACTCCACCCCACCACCACAAATAGTATTACAGCATAAAGTCTCATTAACTGGTTCTTTGTAGTCTTTGTTATCAAGGTTCTCTATACACAAACAAAATCACTCTTTCCTTGAAATAACCTCTGCTAAATCAAGTATGTAACAGAATGTACTTTACAATGGACATTTCTGTAAAATATTTAATTCATTATTTTCACATCAGATATTATTTTCAAAGACAAGGCATTCCCAGAATAACAATGTCATTAACGAAGAAACGGTAATTAATAGAGCACCATGGGTGAATTAAGATTCTTCATTTATAGTACTCATCATTAAAAACAGTAACAATACCGCTATTTAATTAGTAGTTTAACACTACTCTCTAATTATACCAATTGTAAGTATGAAAACTAAAATAAATTTTAAGCAACCCTAACATTTAAAATATTTTGATAATATATCAAAAGGATACAATATAATATATTGTTATTTTTGTTGTTGACATTAAATATATTAAACTTAATTTAAACATTAATGGTGAAATTAAAAATAATAAATATAATAATAGCATTTAGCAATAATAATGTGAGTACACATACTAACTAAACTAAATCCTTTCCGAGCCACTAGGGTTCATAGGGCTGGAGCTTAACCCAAGTTTCTGTCGTGTGAAGCGAATGGGAGTTGTACTCCCCCAGGACGGGACGCTAGTCCATCGCAGGTTAGTCCCCAGCAGTTTGCTGGTACCCATTGATACAGCTGGGTGGACTGAAGCAATGTAGATAAAGTGCCTTGCCCAAGGACACAAGCAAATCTGCACAGCGGAGACTCGAAACCCCGACCTTACGATTGAAAGCCCAAACCTAAACCGCTGCACCAAACTGCCGCTACTGTACACATACAAATTACCAAAAAAAAAAAACACCACTATTTATAGATCATTCCTTAGAATCAAGTAAAGTAATATAATAACAATAATAATAATAATAATAATAATAATAATAGTATTAATAAAAATAATGTTATCAAGAATGACTGCACTCATTCCATGTGAGGCATCAAATAAACGCTTGACCAATGACAACTTTGCTTCCTCTGTTTTTCGATTTCTAAAAGTGACCAACAAATTAATGACTCCACCAGAAGACAACAGAGAGACCTCTATTTTTGTTGACTCCACCAGAAGACACAACATACCATTATTTACTTTGACACCACCCACTATTCAACAAACAGGTCATCATTCTTTTTGGATTCCGCCCACATGACATGAGGCAAGACATTATTGATTTTGATTCCACACAAGAAAACAGACCGGCCATCATTTATGTTGACTTCAGATTCATCATCTTTAACTGCGGTACCAAATTAAATTTACGTCTCTGAAATTTACCAGCTTATAAGTGATTACTATAGACAAACCAGTAGTGTTTAGGTTATGTTTAGGGGGGAAATGACTATTCTAAAAGATGGACTGAGGGGTGCCACCAAGACCACAAATACAATGTCGCACTATTTACTGTTGTTCAATCAAACTTTACCACGAAAAACTTGAACTCATTTACAACATCACTCATATAAACAACTCCGCTCGCCAGGAGAGATTTAGTTATAGAGCATCAAGGAACCTCTTAAAATATGGTAAAAATCCATGAAAACAAATATTCTGAACAGATAAATATATATAAATGGGAGAAAGAAGGGAAAATAGAAGGAAATGAGGGAAGGAAAAGAATTGGATATGGGAAAGTAGATGGGAGAGGAGATGGGTGTGCAGAGAGATCTGCATATCCTTAAATGGATAATTCCTCATATGTACATAGTCCAACATAATCTATGGAACTTGCCACTGATAGAAGTCAATATTAATATATACTATGAGTTCTAACATGGTTAATATAACCATATACAGATACAATGTTAAAGGTAGCAAATCTTTATCCAAATTACCAACTCACAAATGGGAGAGCTATTGAGTGCAAAATAGAAGCCATGCACACAGGTACCTTTTTCCCTAATAAGTGCAACCATTTGAAATGGCATAAAAGATATTCCTTTATTTTTAGAACTTTCAGTTGGCATTTCTATACATGAAATATTTTGTTAATCAGCAGTCAAAGCTGTGTAACATCAAACACTGAACAGCCAACTTATATAATCAACTATTTATCATTACTGTATTTAAATAGCATACTTGCATTCTTTATTTTCCTTGTTTGTAGCAAAACCGGGGCAGAATTTATCAATCTCAGGTTAGCAAATGTCTTAAGTCAAAAAAGTTAAGATGTCTCTAAGCAAATATCTTAAGCTGATTTATCAAACCATCTTAGCAAAACCTTAGCTTAAAAATCGTCTTAGATGGTGCATGCGTACAATCGGCTTTTTAATTTTAAGCAATTTTTAAGCTAAGTAATTTTAATAAATCTGACTTAAGCAACATAATTGACTTAAAACGAATTTAAGTTGATTTCTAGTTTGATAAATCCGGCCCCTGGTTCTTAAATTGTGCATGGCTTCTAAACAGGAATTTTTAGATGTACAGACAGCAGGACAACATAAATAGGTGACACATATATGCAATTTGACCCCAAGTGACACTATATGAGCTACTTGGCAAGATTACACAAATAGCAACCAAAATTCCATTGAAACAATCACAATAGTTGCCGCTTCCAGAGCAATATCAACAATTCACAGTACTACTGCTATCTTATAAAACCAACTTTTGTAATTAAGAATCAATGACAATGTACACTTAAAATAGTCACATGGTCCAAAAATGACTAAATGTTAAAGCGTATGTGAAGGTGTATGTAGGTGAAAAATATCAAGAATCAATTTTAAAAGTCACACAATTTTTCAATGCTAAACTGGTCAACAGTCTAACACGGAACTAACTCTACAATTCCATAAAATAGAGGATGTACACATCTTAATTCCCCTTGAAGAGGCTAAAGCATTCCATGCTATACCTATACTGATTAATTCACAAAAACATGTACAGTGTATGCTATATCGGCTCCTTATTAAAAAAAACATAAAACTCTTGACCGAGTAGCCAAGGTGCAGAGTTAATAAACACAAAAGCAATGTTAAACATTGGTGGGGATAAACACAACAGGGAACGGCAGAAAATATCTCCTCATTTTTAACAGGATTTATTTACCATACCAAAAAACAAAAAACAAAGGATATATCACGGGTACCTTTAAATTCTAACAATATCACACCTGACAATAGATCTACAGTAACTTTGGAGATTGTGTGTTGAAATGAGCAAAGTCACTCATGCAAAGGAGTTGGAAGTGTTCATATTTCAGCATGTTATTGCTACGGCATGCAAACATATGTATCAAATTCTTGAGTAGCTATAGGATTCGAACCCAAACTGACAATATCATTTGCTCATTTTATTTACAAACAGTTTCTTCTTCAGCTGTCCATGGTTTTGATAATTTTGTCTCGCTGTAACAATGTGACACTCAGTTGCCCACAGAATCCAAGTTGTGTTCTGATCCATCTGTGAAAAAAGTTAATTGTAGTTGAGTAAATTTTGATGTGGTTTTATCTGTCAATGTTACCTTATAAATAAGTTTCAATCTTTTATATATATTTTTTACTTATTTATTTTAACCACAGAGGACTGGTTATGTCAATATCCACTCCAAATTATTATCATTATTGTTCAGGCAAGGCTGAAATGAAATAAGTGGTAACCCAACTTAATAAATATAGAACTAGGATTAACATACAGGATATTGAAAAGAAAATGGTCAATTCTGATATTTTTCTCTGTAATGACTCAGATATTTGTTCTAGTTCATGATGAAGGTTAGATCCAGCTGTTGAAATGCATACTTGTGTTTAAACCATATGTTTTATTATGAATTTCCAAATAAATTTCAACATATTGCATATTTTGTATTGGGTTTTGGTGTATTAATGTTAAAATTCAATGTACTGTATAGCATTTTACGACTATATGCATGCATGTGTACAATGATGAATGACATTTTGAGATTCACCTCAACAAATCAGCATATGGTAGCTCGTGATTGCAAAATGAATAAATTGAATAGAACTTTATTAGGCTGTTAATGTAATTAATTAATTCAACTATATGTAAATATATTCGTATATGTTCATACATGAAAATCAATATTGGGAAATACATCAACGAACACTGCCCCCAAAGACATACAGTTTTGTTGAGCTTATACATAATAACTAATAAAATTAATTATTTAAAATTGCTTACTATATACATTAAAGCTTATAGTGGCTTTTAATTCAAAATTGGAATAAAATGTTTTTCTTGCTGATTAACTGATGCAGAGATTATTACATTCTTATGTTGTTTACCAGATTCAGTTTTGACTTCAACTGCTGCTGATTTTTTCTTTGTTTTTTTTTATTCAATATTTTTTGCTGCGGTTCACCTGTTTCAGATGATAGTTAAAATATTATTTTAATATTGTTTATCCAGACAATACCAGATGAAATTCACCATTTAATTATTATTCAAAGATCTAGTTCTCACCACTAAGAGCTATCTCTGTCACGCTCCGGCATAAGTTCTCCAAGCAGTTGTTGATATCTGGTTCTTGTAGGGTTGTTGCCGAGTCCGTCGTCTGCAAGCCTTGTTGGACTGTTACAACTGGTTGCGACATCCGCCGCTGTACAGGCATTGATTGTGTTCGTTGCACACCTTGGTGATGGTTACCACTTAACTGGATGAAAAAAAAAAATTTATTTAACACTTTAAGAGAAACTTCAAATTAAGTTTTAAAATAAAATCATATTTAACCCTCAACTGGAATGAAAAAACGAATACTTGAATAAAAAAAAAAGAAGAGTACTTAGTATTGGCTAAAAAGTATTCACACTTAATTATTATACTGTACATAACAACATTTATATAGGGCTATCATGAAAATCGGAGTGTTACTCGCTTTTTAAAAATAATTTGAGGGGTTATTCACAATTAACATTTTTCAAGTGTACAAAATGCATTCTTTTTGGGTACACCCTCCCTCCGAAAGTGTACATAAAAAATATTGATTTTTCAAAACCATTCTCAATTTTTTGTGAAGTCTAACTAAAGTACTTGGTTGCTTAAAACCTCAATTATATCCATAGTTACATTATAATTGGTCATAAAAATCTATTATTTTTTAATCAAAAATATAAAAGTGTACAAATTTGTCTACCCCTCTCCCCCAGAGTACTGTTTGTACACTTGTGAAAATGTCGAAAATTGGAAACGACTCTTACTATACTGCAGCGACAAAATACATCTAGCAGAAAAAACGGCAAAATAAGAAAATAAAACCAAACATCACTGTACCACTCCCTAGCAAATTAAGGCGCAATTGTAAATTTGCATGCTTACCTGTTGCGCTGAGTAGTTCAAGTTACTGGCGTGGTTGCTTGCAGGTCTAAACAACCCACTTGATCCCATACCAATCACTACCGGTACTCGCTGATTCAAATGTTGTGGAAAACACAGGCGCTGGCGTCGCAAACCAGGCTTGTACTCAATTGGAATGTTACTAATGTGACCCCACCTGTAAAATACATCAATACCATCATTTTTTATATTAAAAAAAAACATATTTAATTTATTTTTCATTTCATTTACTTCTTCTCATACATACAAAAACACACAACAAAAGAACAGGTTGATGGCTATGCAGAGAAGGGATTCCAAAAAAGTGAACTCAATCACTGTCAATGTAGGTCTCCCAGAAGACTGTTTCAAACATGAAATTTAAAACTATTATAACAATTTAGAAGAATACAAATAAATAAATATACAATTTAAAAAGCTAATCATCACATGCAAGTGTTGATAAATGAGATTTAAAATTCCTAATATATAAATTTATAAGTCAATCGTGACGTCATCACTGTAACTCCCAATGTTATTTGCCTATTCCCATTCTCGGCTTGATTTTTTTAAGGTTCGTGTGCAAAAAAAAAATTTTCGTCACCACTGCGAATACATCACACACCGTGATAAAAATTGAATTGTAATTGAAATTTGAAAATTACTTTCGTACCCGAAGAAAGTTACTTCAAATTCAATATTATGTATGAACAATTAAGGAATTCATTGAATCAATGGACCCTCATAAACACAACAAACTGAACGTTTAATAGAAATATTCTAGACCTATTTTAAAGACTCAAGAAACAGATTCAGATGTAGGCCTACGGCCAGGCAGTCTGCCCGGGCCTCCTCCTACTACTACTAGGCATAGGCTGTAGCCTGGCCTAGTTATGAAATCATCGCATGATTTTATCTGTCTGCATGCAACGACCAAAAAGGACGTTAGTGATTGTATTCCCTCTCGAATGCTGAAATGTTTATTTCTTTGACGAAAGTCTATCAATATAGCATTACAAACAAGTTCTTTCTAACACAATAGTTATTCATCGTATCCGTACTGTACTGTACTGCTGATATTAGATGAGTTAAACCAAAATCAGCATATGCACAGCTAAATGTAAATACGCACACGTATACTGATCATATCACTATAGCAACCGATGGATGCTACAACAGTTGGTTATAAAAAAACTAAAATTAAAAGACGGCGATTGACTTATAAAGCAATTAGTAGAGCATGCATCGTACACTAAACAGAAAATTATTATACTTTGGTTAGATTTAATGCATTCAAAAATTTCCTTTGGGCCTTGCAGGCCCTCACAAGAAATTTTTTCAAACATTAAATCTAACCTTCGTATAATAACTTTCCTATAGTGTACTATGCGGAGCTCTACTAATTGCTTATTAAATTAATTAAAAGGAGATATAGAAGGTAACGTTTCAGTTTCACATAGAATGTCAGCTGATATTTAGAGCCTGTATTAATTAAAGGAACCGAGACTTAGATTGTTTTCTAGTTACACAAGAAATTTTTTATTTCTTGTTTTGCGAACTTATTTTTTTAAAGATCATCAGAAGAGGGTGTAAAAAAAATAAAAATAAAATTTTGTTTTCTTATTAACAAAAAGTTTTGCAAAAACATCCTGATGGAAAGCAAAATAACTATATTGGTGATTGTAAACAGTGAAGTAATGGAGGTTAAATGCTTCAAATTTATATAATGAGGGAGAAATATACATATCTTATCTTAGGAGATTTCAAGGCAGCAAAAGGTGTAATAAAAATAAAGAAAAACATTTATTTTTTTTTCTGAAATTTCCACTTTGTCGTAATGTCGAGTATCATCAATATTTGCGGCCAGTATAAAAAAACTCTTGCCTTACAAAAAATAATTCTATGCTGCCACATGAATGATATTCTTATATATTTAAAATAAATATTTATTTATATAATATTATATATAATTATATATAAATATTGAACTCAAATCCATCTTAATTATTGGCTATCAACTATAGCGTGCAATTCGGACGTCTTACGTTCTAGGGCCTCTCAAGTCTTGCATGGATTGTTTTCGCATGTACGGACTTCTCGATGAGAACTTTTGGCAGCTTTGGCGCCATGACATCAGCCGTTTTTTGTGGGTGTTACTGAAAGCCTCATGGTTCAAGCATTTGTCAAGGAGTTGAAGGTACAGACTTATGGCATCCTCATCGGGTCTACGGGACATCACCAGCTGTGTACACACTGAAGAGCAAAGATCTTATAAACACAAGATAGAATTCTCCGCGTTTTACGCGTGCAAATTCTGTAATAACGCATGAACAGCAGCCTATTGCAAAATTGAAAACTTTTGAACCTTGACCGCTCTGACCATAGTGTATGCCACGCGACTTAACGTTTACACGTAACAATTAGAAGCGTCCGTATAATGCGCCCTCTCTTTAGAACATAAGGAACAAATTAACGTACTTGGTAACGAACACCCTATCTCAGATCCATGGCAACGACTAGGACGCCCCTCCCAAAACTGATTACTTTTCTGTGCCAAATCAACGCTTCTATTTGTTACGCGTAAATCGCGAAGAACGCTATCTTGTGTTTATAAGATCTTTGCTGAAGAGCAATTCACAATTACAATCATTAAAAAATGTGCTTGAAGATACATGAAAAGGAACATACTGTACATCATGTCTTTTCATGATCTATGATAAATATGTGTATACATCTCAGGAGACAAATAGAAACTCATAAGCTCTTGAAAATTAAGTGTACAAAGTCATAATATATGCAGGTTCCATAATGTATGCAGGTTCCAGCTAACACAATAAAAATCTGTGCATATTTTTGTTTCATCTGTATATAGCATCGACTGAAGGACTTGAACTTTAACCTTATCCTCACTATCAAGTTTTTATGTGACAGACTTGCCCATATATGGGCAAGATGATGTCATATCTCATCCATATATGGATATTATTATTATTATTATTATTATTATTAATATTATTATTATTATTATTATTATTATTATTATCATTATTATTATGAAAATGTCATAATGGTTTTTTCCTTAATTTCATTACAGTATTTTTAACCATAAAAACACAGCTTTCATTTAAAACAATATTGTGTTTAAATCTAAATTAAAAACTTGGGGTTTCCCCTTTGCATTCTTTCAACGAAACATAAGCAAGGGTTTATGTATTGTAAGGGAATTGAGACCAAAATAATTAAGTTTCATTTTTGATATTATGAACAATTCTGTTTCAAGTGGTGATAAAAATTATCAAAATCAATTAATTTTTATTAATACCAGTACCCATTAAATAAATTTACAAAACAATTATTTTTATATTAAGATTTGAACCCAATAGACTCAACTGGAAGCAGAAAATGTATCCTTACTAATATAATAAGCATTTTTTCAATAATTAATTGCTTATTAAATTACATTATTAGTTATCAATAGAAAACTAGAATACTAAAATATTTTCTACCAATTAAAAAACGTATTAAATAGAGCTCATATTTTTTACATTTAAAATTGGACTCTATTCAAAGGAATTTTAATAGTAAAAAAATCAATTTTTTTTTAACCCAATCTATATTATATCTGTAACAGGGAAATTTGATGCCTTATTATCTTCGTAAATGAAAAATACAATGTCACCCAATTTTAAATGTTTTCTATAATAGAAAGGCAGCACTAACTTACTTTTTCCCATGAACCTAGTGATCTGACCTGGAAGATCTCCCTTCGCAACTGTGTGCGACATTCCTTGATCGTTATCCGATGGGGATGCCGGTTGATCCTGGCTGTACTGGTCGTAGGAATCACTTTCCAATTGCTGGCTTCTGATCGGTGTTCCAAGCATTGTTTTTATTTCATTCAAAGCATTTCTTAGTGTTCCAGCATTACTGTCGGACATTATATCCTGCAAAAAAAAAAAAATGGTTTAAAAGGGTGTTAATTTTAGGGTCTTATTATTTTGTGATTATTATTGGTTAGTTTTCATGGTTACCAAATTTTTTAAATATTAATTTAAGTAACTAGCAATGCACATGATTAATATCTTCACTATCAAAATAACAGCGCTCATTGATTAATTTATTATTTGATATGGATTCCTTCATAATAGGTTTCATAAAAGTTATTTATAGTTATCCATTGTTAGTATTGAGCTGGATGAATAACAGGATCACAGACTTATAGTTACAGCGATTAAGTTTATATGTGTCCACACTCTCTCACTTATTACACTGTAGTAAATGTACAACAAATTACATGTATTTTTGGCAAAGAATTAGAATACTTGGAAGTAAGATAAACTGCTTTAAAATGGTCACTTATTGAAATCTTAGTGTTCTTTAATTTGAAAGATTATCAAACATTTAATATGTGTGTGAATGATTCCTCAGTGTTATATTAATAAAAATATACAACCTACTAAAATATTAAACTATAAAATATGAATTAATTACTATTTAAAAAAACCTATTAGAACATAGTGGAAGATGATACTTATAATGTTAACATATAATACACCTAATATTCCATTTACTATTAAATAATGGTAGTCTTACTATAGACCATGAACAATATTGCCGTGTTTATTAGCTTAGAAATAATAAATATGATGTAAATATGCCTAGGTGATCCCTTACGTAAATTTATATAGCGTAATTACAATAAAAATGTTACTAAAAATAAGTAGTATTTTTTACTAAATGTATCATTTTCAATATGTTGAGCTGATCCCTTACTGTCATATATTCAGTAAATGGATAAAAATAATGGTTCAACATAGCTAGAAATAATCACTCTCTTTCTATATGGTAGTGCCATAATACAATTATAATATATTTATTTCTTTGAATTTACAGGAAATACAAGATAAATGATAAAAAGGATAAACAGTTGCTCAGTCAAGGTAATGTCATGTCAATTAAAAACGAATTATTGTATAAATTATGTTTATTTAATATAATTTATAAATGTAAACAAACAAGTGTCTTATTTCAATTGTCAGAAAACAATCTCTTCCTCATGATGTAATGTTTCTTATACTGTATCAAGGACAACAAATTTTAAACAATGGTGGCCTGTATCAAAAGCTGCATATTTTACATTTAGAATTAGTATAATAATATTTTGTACTATATTATTATTATTATACTTTTTTCACATCCTTGATGGGTACTTCAATTTAAATATGCTAATAAAGAAATTACAGTAAAATCATTGATATGTCTTTTGTTTGTATTAGTTGATTAAAATAGCTTTCATACTTATAAAATAATATTATTTTCCCAACTATCAATCAAATTATTATTATTTTTATTATTTTATAGTTGATTAAAATGATTTCATAATTAAGAAATATATACTTTATAAAAATATAAAGCCCTTTCCTGACTATTAAAATTTTATTTGACAAAAACATGCGGCATGCCCAGATATGGTCATGATGACATTATATCATGACTATATATATAAGTACATCATGACTATATATGGTCATGATGACATCACATCATGACCATATATAGGCACATCATGACTAAATATGGACATACAATAGTTTTTGTCAAAGAAAATTTGATAGTCTGGACAGAGCTTAGATACAACTGCTAATAGTGATGGAGGGGAGAAGATGTCTGTATTATTTGCAAGCATAGAGTTGTCACACTTAATTATGGATCAATTAATCACCGGACAGGATGTGAAAAGATGATTTACAGAGCCATGTAAATGTACTTGGTACTCCATTCTAAATGTCAAGGAAACATCTAATCGCAATGTTCCATTATTCTAATGTTACAGTATCACTTATTATTTTAAAAAGTATATAAATGTTATTGAATTGTTAATTGAATTGTTGAATTGAACCGCACTGGTATTTTAAAATCCTACATTGAGTAAAAAAAAATTCATATAGTTGTTTGTTAAAAAAGAACAGAATTAAGATTTCTATGTATAAATTACCTAATGTACTACATGACCATGAAACTAAACAAGTCTGTTTTCATCATTATTACAACTATCACTACCATAAGTATCATCTTCACATCAGTATCAATATTATTCTCATCACCATCATCACTACTACTATCACCATCATCATTACCACCTCCACCATTATCATAACCACTACTACATTATCATAACCACTGTCATCATCAGTGTCTGTCAACATTGCCATCATCACCACCATCATCAGTACAATCATCATTATCACCATCAGTTCATCAGAACCACCATAATCACCAGTACCATATCATCTTCACCATTAGTATAACCACCACCATCATCACTACTACCATCATCATCACCACCACTAGTATCACCTTAACCATCATCGCCACCATCATAACCACTACTACTACCACCATCATCATCACTACTACCATTATCATCACAACCATCAGTACAATCATTGTTTTATCATCATGAGTTCCATCATCAAAACCACCACCATCACCATACTGTAGGTATCACCATTACCATCATCTTCACCATTAGTATCAGTATTACCCTCACCACTATTATCATCACTACTACCATCATCATCACCACTACTATCATCATCACCACCATCATAATCACTACTACCACCATCATCATCACTACTACCATTATCATCACCACTGTCATCATCAGTGTCAACATTACATCACCAATATCAGTACAATCATTGTTTATCAACATTAGTTCCATCATCACCATAGGTATCACCTTTACCATTATGATCACCATCAGTACAACTACAATCATCGTTATCATCATTAAAACCACCACCATCACCATAGGTATCACCATTACCATTATCTTTGCCATCAGTATCACCCTCACTACCATCATTATTACATTATCATCTTATCACTATCCCTGCCATCATAAATATAAAATTACCTTCATCAGATGGTGATTTTCCCATTACACTAGTGATACTATATACGCTTGACTGAATTACTATCTACTTGAGAAAGATGGCTATAATACTTCATTAGTACTAAATCAAATACATTATTACAGCAAAATGATAAGCCTCTCAATACATTATGCAAGTAAATTATACACAATGTATTTGCCAACTGATCATAAAATCAGTTGAGAAAAATAACAACGTTAATAGAATATTATTAATGTTTTGTTTTACTGATAAGAAAACTGATTTCCAATGAGAAATACTTATTATATCTTATCAAAAATCAGCATATATAAATATGACATAAAAGATAGTGTATTTTATTGTATTTTTATATCATTATCATTATATTTTTTTTTTATTGTATTATCTCAAATTTGCATAATGTGTTTAAAAGTATTATTAGTCAAACTTCATTATATTTTTAATAAACAGCACTCTCTCACTTCACTACATACACTAATATTCAATGACGATATATTAGTCTTTGATATCATTTAGAACTTATTTTAAGGTTCTTTAATTCTGATATGGTCCCTGATTTAAGCCTGCATACCCTAGAGAAGCAAAACTAAAACTAAGATTGTACATGTTAAACTCAATTCAAATCATACAAAATTCATATCTTTTAAGTTGATTTTTGTCCTCCTTTTCTTCCTCGAATTTGCTGCCACCTTCATACAGTGGAATTTTAAACTAATATATGGCTCTAGTTGGCTCATTTTAGTGTTTGCTGACTATTTATCTTGTTCTCATCCTGTAGTTATATTCTCTAAGCTATTTATATTCTTATCATCCTGTTATTTATTACCATTTCTTTTTCCTTTTTTTTTGTGATGGTTTACCCTCTCATAATTACCACTCTGCACATGACCATGTCAAAGATCAAGTCATGCAATACAAAGGACTTTGTACAACCATATGTTAATGAAATTCTAACTATAAAATAATTATGGCCTATCACTTGTATGTTTATGCCATGTGTAATAAACTACCATGTTTATAGTGATGAAGAACCTGACATAACAAAGATTGAATGTGATCATATAGCTAACCTTTGGTTAACTATACCATTACTACTGCAGGGACAGATTTAAAAGGGGAGGGGGGTTGGGCTGGTCCCCTCCCCCGCCCCCATTTTGGAAAGTCAAAAAAGAAAGTAAAAAAGAAAAAAGAAAAAAATTAGCGCCCAAAAGGCATTGAGGTTATTTTCGGGCGTCTAGAACACAGAAATTTCGCGGGGCATGCCCCGGAACCCCCAGGATATTGTTATCTCGATCGGCTCACTCCCCCCACCCCTTTTGGACATCTCTGGATCCGCCCCTGTACTATAGTAGTATATTCAATACAAAATGTTATAAATCACTCACCATTTCCTAAATAATATTATTACTGTGTGGCTACTGATTGACTAAAATTATTGGCTGATCAAAAGAAATTGAAGAGTATTGTTATGTTCATCTTTATCATCGTTGTATACCATTATCACACATCATTATCATTATCACTATTATCACTATCATCATCACTATCATCAATATTACAATTACTAATACCAATATAATTATCATAATTTGGATGATGTATTTGTTAGCATTAGCAATTAAGCAATTCATTAACCTAATTATTATACAGTATAACATTATTATTATTACTAAATATAAATACTGTAAAGAGAGAAAAAAATACATTAGTGATTAACTTTAGGAATATAATTGCATAACTGTTTGAATAAAAGAGCACACATTTTAACAATTTATTAAGCCCATCACAGTAATATTTTGTTTTGCTGATAATGCCCGCGATGATTGCGTGGAGTCGCATGCACCAGACTAATCCAACCGCAGCGATGCAAAATGAAAATATAATCTCCACTGATCTCTGCTGATAAATCAAAGATTTCCCTACCTATCTATGCTAAGCAGAAAAACACCACTTAAGTTGTTGTGAAATGCTTAAAAATATCAACGTGCTAAAAGCCTCGTTCAAGTTACAGCAGCATTAATATTTAATATCATTTCTATTTATGTTCCTGTAGTAAATTTTAATGCGTGGGTCACTAAACGCAAATGTATTTTAAAGATATCTCAATCTGTATTGAGCTGGAAAAACTTTTCACTCAACCTATTTCATCCTTTAAATTTCATTCCCATTCTTTTCCATATCTATTCCAACACTCATATCCTCTTTTCATTTCTTTTCTCCTTTTCATTAATTGCTCATCCCTCATCTTTTACATTATAATACTCTTATTCACTATCTTTCAACATAAATTATTTTCTTTTGCTAATTAAAAAGAACATTCTGTAAATATGTGAAAACTTTCTTTTTTTAATTACTATTCTCTAAACCTATTTCATCCTTTCACTTTCATTCCCATTCTTTTCCATATCTATTACAACACCCATATTCTCTTTTCCTTTCTTTTCTCCTTCCCTTATCTTTTACGCACCTTTGTACCCTTTAATTTTTTTCGGGTTCCTCACAAAATATAATGATGTCTTAACAACTCATATTGCAATTCAGTTATTACTGCCAATTATTTTATGTACATTTATATTTGTTGAATAAAAGACTGAATAAAAGATACCTAAAAATATAGGGGCCTAGTGCCGACAAATGCTCAGTCAAATTCTGCAGGCAGACAATTAAGATGAAGTAGAATGGTTAGCTTTGTGGCTTTGCTCCTTACCTTTTCTAGATTCTGTAATGTACTTTGTCTTTCTTTTAACTTCTGGATACTCAAGACTATCTTATGTCTCGCACCTTTAGTAACATTCTGTTATAAAAAAATTAAAAATAAATAAAATTGACAATTAGTAGATACTTCTTAAGGGTTTGAATGGAAATTATAATAATATTGAGGTTAAAAAAAAAACCTGACAAAAGTTCAATATTCAGATTGGTGTTTGATTTGTATAAATGTACGTTATTAGCTTTCAAATCGAAAATCAGAATAAAAATTAATTGATGCACCTTTCAACATTCAAAAAGTTTGAATAAACTGGAAAGCTTTATCCAGAATATCAAATAATAAACTATTATATGCCCATATATAGTCATAATGTGCCCATATTTTATTTTATTTTATTTTTATTATGTATTTAGGCACACAATACATGTGCCAAGGATTGTCAATAGTGAATATGACACTGTCCTACTTGTAGGTGACAATCCCTTACATAAGACAAACATACACACACGATGCTTTACACAAACTAAATCTCAATATTATGAGATTTAGGGAGTGGAGTTGTTTTGGTCGTGAGAAAAAATCCTGCAACACTGACAGGAATTGAACCCAGGACCCTAGGATTGGAAGGCAAGCATCTTAACCACCAAGCTATTCAACTCAATTCAATATATGGCATAGTATGATGTCATCATGACCATATTAAGGCAGGTCACATTTGATAGCCTGGACAGGGCTTTAGACACACACCGCATACACTCACGTATAAAACAAGGCTTAAAATACCAAATTACGATAAGAAAAACAAGGGGTCGTCTTATACGCCCAACATACAAATATCTGATTTTTGAAATAATGTTTGTCTTATGTGTAGATCGTCCGCAACATGCGAATGTACTACTGCAATGAACCTAATAAATGTTAGTATGAACACAGATCCTGTATATGATCTGTGGTATGAATGAACACTATTTTAAATACTGGGAAGTAAGTTTTTGATTAACAATTAAAAGACCATAAAATGGTGTCATTTTGGAGACTAGCCCTACATTTTGATTCCCTTTTTAGCCAGCTAGATGCAGTATCAAGACCATAAAGACCAGCAAAAAAGTATGAATTCCGACGGCATGACGCCCAACATGCGAATATTGTCCAAAAACGTTCGCAAACTCGGGGGTCGTCTTATACGCAGGTCGCCTTATCTATATATAATACCTTTCCTTATAAGACTCAAGAGTAAAAATATGCCAATAATCAATTCAGGAGATTTTATCTGTATTTTAGAAGTAAATAAAATTTCATATTTAAAACAGCTATTCAAATTTTAGAACTGATGGTATCTTTAGTAAACGTACTTTAGACTTCCGGTACTCTGTGTTAGGATATTGTTCTGGGAAAAGCCATTGTTTTATTACGTCAACATTTCCAGAGTGTGATGTGTAATGCAGTAGGAATATGCGAATAAAATTACGATAATAATAGATTGCGACTGCAAAGCACTTATAGGCATAGGCTATGATGATAATAGTGAATACTTACATTGACGATAATAGCATTAATTTAATAATGATAACAGGGGATAATATTTACTACAGGACATTTATAATGATAATACTGACAATGCAAATATTTAATATTTACTATAATACGTGGTAATGAGAAAACTTGACTCTGATTGATGATGTCTCAATATTTTTTTTAACTGAAAAAAAATTACATTAACAATGTAGATCCAATAAACCTTACAGAAATTCATACACTATTACACACAGTGTGATGGCATGTATATCTTCAAAATAACGGCTGCCATATATTAGCTCACTGACTTTTAACTAAAAGCTATCTCACAAATATAAAATTTTTAGAAATTCTGTAATCTAGTTATAAATGTAATTGTAGATAACTAATGGACAGTACAGGCATTTATAAAGCAAATGTTATACAGTAGGAACTAATTAATTTTCAAAATAAATGCAGTCTAATGTTCACAAGTATTTGCAATTAAAAAGTATAGTAATGCAAAGGCAACATCAGATAGGCAAATTACCACCTGCCTTATAAAACAATGAACTTAATGTAATCACCCACAAGGAATATAAAAAAAAAAATAATAATAAAATAAAGCAGATATAAACATTGATTAACCTGATTGAAATACAGTAACAATTAACAATGAAAGACAATCATATTCGACCAAGATTTATTTTTCAAATATCTGTATATAAAGAAACTAAATCATTTTCTTAGTTTTCATGTTCCTTTTCGAACTGTTAGAAGTCCGCATTTTATGTTCCTGTCAACAGGGTTAATATTTCCAAAAAGGGGATTCAAACTCATTTCATCCAAAGTTTGAACACTGACATTTTTTTTCAACAGTAATTTAGCTTTTAAAAATTAATGTATAAATTGTTTTGAAAAATAACTGTCCATCATAGATTTTATAATTTTTTTTTTTTTTTAATTACCTGGTGCATTTTAACAATATATTATATGTCATCTTGTAACTAACTATATTTTTTGTAACTCTATTTTTACAAATATTTATAGAGTATATTTTTGTTTCAATTCTTTAATTGGCAACTTCCATTGCTGTTGAATTTTGAGCGAATAAAATAAAAAATAATAGGGAATGAAATAAAAAATAATAAACAACCTTGAAAGAGTATGTAAAATAAAAAAAAAAACTGTAGCATAGTAAAGGTTAATGACATACAGTCTGTTGCAAGCTAATAATTTCTAAAATTAATGAATCAATATTTGAAATGCATACTTTGTACGGCAAGTTATTCTTCAAATTGGAAATATTTTCCTCATCAATCAATGGAAGTATCAATAGACATAAAAATAATACAATTTTACTTATGCAAGTCTAGACTAATATAGATTAGAATTTTTTGTAGTAAACAGTCTACATCATTAGCATTAAAATAATGTTTTTCAAAAGCAAAACACAAATAAAAATCATTTTATAGAAACCAAAAAAATAATTTGTAAAATAAATTTTAAAAATAATGAAATAAAATAAGTATTTAATAAATTAATTTTTTACATATATAATTGCAGAAGAGGCTCTTAAAAGTTTAAAAAAGAAATCAATATATCAACCTTGAGGTGAGGTGAACAACCATTATTTAATTTATAACATATACCATTAGAATAACATAGATAAACAATTAACACATAAATTAAACAATGCAATATAAAAACACTTCTATTAAACACTAGTCTTTTGTGGCATAAGCCAAGGATTTCATACTGCTTAATACTGACATTCCATTCATGTAATTATTCTTGTATTTATTAGCCATATTCATAGTTAAATTACTGTATTGTCCACAGGCTCTGCTATACACAAACACACAGTTATTAACTGTTTTATTTATCTAATCACAAGATATAAACTAGCATAGAAGGATTAACGCAAGTATGTGCAAGACGGCCAATCACAAAATAGAAAAACAGCCACTGATTCATGGATTATTAAGGTGCGAGCCAACAGAAATTCAATCTTAAACTGACATAAAAGGATGATGTATTTAAACGCGAGGCAAGAGTCAGCCAAATGACAAGTCTAGAAAAACTCTTTTTTTTTATAAACAGGCATACTGTAGTTTAGGTTGCTGGAAATGGACACATTATTTAACAGTGAACCAAAAATTAACCAATCACTGTACGGGAAATTCATACTTAAACAGGTATTGATTGATGAATTATTTAAGCACAAGCAAATAGATAGTTGGATCACAGAATAAGAAGCTCATTTTAAACTGGCATAAAAGGATGATTTACTATTAAGTGTGAGCCAAGAAACAACCAATCACAGAATAGGAAACTGAAACAGGCATATTCGAAAGAGGCATACAAGAATGAATAATTCAAATGTAAGCCAACAAAAATATGGTAATTATACAGGTACACTAGATCTTATCAGGTATCTATTTTGGTAGTTAATATGCTTGTCTTCTAAAAAAACAGAACATAGCATCTTATGCCAGAGTATTTTCTCAGGGCTAAGCCTCATAATGAGGCCTGGATTATATATTTATTTCCATTCAGTGGAGAGTTGCTTGCTGCAAGAGAATATCAAAAAGATGCTTTTAGTCGAAGTCTGAATAATATTTATTTCACACAAATGTAAACATACAAAGAATAAATAATATAATATAGTTATTTATCATTATCTTCATTCATTCTTGGTAGGTGATACAAACAAACCTTGAATTACAAGCTGAAAATTGTAATAATTCATTTCAAAAACAATTATTCAAAGAAGCTTAATATAAAATCAACATAACATAAAAGAAACGGGTTGCAAATTGTTTAACAAATCTATTTGAAAATTATAGTAGCTATTTTTTAATTTGCATTTGTGAGAAGAGCTATGAACAAGGCTTGAAAAACTTTCTCCTATTAGAAGCAGTTAAAATACTATGTGATATTTAATTTAAAATGAATTAAAATTAAGAAAAGTTTATGATACTTACTGTGTGTATGCATTGATGCTGCATGTTACAGGTTAATTTCTTACCTTCACCTTTAGCCTACATACTGTATGTAGTACTGTAATAATAAACAACAAATTACAACAACAAATACATTAATAACATACCATAGCTTCAAGTTGCTCCTCTGTGAGATCTAACATCTCTTGGTAGGTTAATTGTTGAAAGAGATAGGAGTATTTATGGAGTCTCAAAGTTTTTAACCAACTGGGAACATCTAAAAAAACAAAAGAAATAAAACAATATGAATGACATGATACATATTGGTTGCTTGTACAGCTCAATGACTAAAGTGAAATGTACAGTGAAGGACTGAAACCCTGACCTCGAGGTTGAGAAATCAAACCATATCCCGCTGCGCAAAATCGTTTCCATGATACATTTAAGTATCTTAATAAAAAAATATATATAAAAATTCAGAAGAAGTATCATTTTTATCTCATTAAAGTTATTATACTATAATATTCGTATCAATTTCCATGATAAAACAATTCTTGAAACAGATTAAACTAAAAGTAATTCCACAGAAAAATGAGTATGCAATATGATAGACTTTGCTGTTACTATTAATTGGATTGGACTTAGATATATTCAGTGTAAACACCAAGAATAATCCAGGAAATTCAGAAGAAACCTCCAGTGGGTCCTTCTAGTGGTGATTAGGCAGTACACCGGGAGACAAACCCTACTCCTTTTCAGAAAATGTACCTATGCTGTTTAACATGCACAGGTCACATTACACCCAAGACCAAAAGCTTAAACATCAAATAAGGTGGTGCGCTAAAAATATTTGTGCCTCCGACCATAAAAACTGTCTTAATAACATGCCTCCAGCACCAAATGTTATCTATACCTATATAGTCCAACAGTTTTTTTTTTCTCCCCTTGAAAATGCCTCCGGGACATTCATGATGCCTCCGACAGCCGGTCGCGTACTTTTAACAGCCCAGCTATACAAACTTGCATTTTAGCCCTCCAACTAAAACATGAAAGACAGCAGCAATGGGAATTGGACCGGGAACCAACAGATCTCTACGATTTAGCTTCCATACAGCGGATACCACCATTTAGCCAATTGAGCTGAGCTGCTCGCTCTCAAAATAATCATCATTTTCCAATTGATACTGTCCAAACTACAGCACTGACATTTACACTCCACTAGTAAGCAATAACTGTTATCATAACATTTGATTTACAAAGATGATTAAATGCATAAATTGAAGCAAATCTTATCATAAAAATTAATTGGAAGTTAGGGACGTAATAAGAGAGAACGAATTAAGATTTGACATTAAATAAGAAAAACACTGAAATTTAACTGTATAACCAATTTATGGCAAATGTCAAAGTAAATTTTTTATTTAAAACAAAATTAAATCAGTATATTTAAAGGTTGAAACTCACCATAAACAAGGATCGGAAAAAATATTTTTTGTGTTCAATTAAAAAATAACTAATCAACATGTACAAATGCACTATGTAAACTCATGAATAGTTAATTAAGAAATGTTAATCAACAAGAACTTGTCATTTTTTAATACAGAATACTATCCTACATCCCAAAAAGTCTTCTTTTACTGTATTTTGATGTGTTGTTCCAAACATTGAGATATAGAACGTTATAGCATTCTAAATGTTCATGCATTTTACAAAAATACAAACCATTCACATTTTAAATTAAAAAAAAAAAAAATGAGCAAAGGAACTAATTTTTGTACAGTTGTTTACATCAAAAATTTCTCTTGGTAAACATCCTGGACCATGTGGTTTGAAGGTAAACATCGTGGACCATGTGGTTTGAAGGTAAGCATCGTGGACCATGTGGTTTGAAGGTAAGCATCGTGGACCATGTGGTTTGAAGGTAAGCATCGTGGACCATGTGGTTTGAAGGTAAGCATCGTGGACCATGTGGCTTGAAGGTAAGCATCGTGGACCATGTGGCTTGAAGCTAAGCATCGTGGACCATGTGGCTTGAAGGTAAGCATCGTGGACCATGTGGTTTGAAGGTAAGCATCGTGGACCATGTGGTTTGAAGGTAAGCATTCGGCTTCATTGCAATTTATTCTACAGCGGGAAGACTCGACCAGAAAGGTCATTCAACTTTTAAAAATTTTAAGAAAGATATTTCATAAATACCAACAACGGATTACAAGATTAAGAACCTCAAAAGAACTTAACAAAATATATGCTGTAAGGAAATGAATTTCTAGAAATTTCAGCTAAAATATCTGCATCTTCTATATATGACGAGTCGGAACAGGAACACATACTTGGCACTATCACAATAATCTTATTAAGGTCACACTTCTTCTCGACCAATTATGTTATTTCTTAACAAAATCTTTCTTGGAACATTATCAATTTGTGAATTTTCTCTATAAAAATTATAACCTTCAATTAAAACCTTACAACAAAAAACAAAAAATTTTGAATTTTGGCCAACAATTTAGGATGACCGTGATAAGAATCGGAAGTTGGTAAAATTTTGAGCTTTGGAATGAAGCCATCTTGCAACACACTACAGGAAAATTGTTCTGCAGAAATAATGTTCCGTCAATATTAAATGTTCAGCATCAAAACCGAGTTACTTCTTTTAAAGTCCCAAATTTCAGAAGTAGAGAACACCAAGATTAAAAACTTAGACAGGTGTACAAAGTTTTAGCTTAGGATTTATAATAAATGTAAAAGGAGGGCGAAGACAGAAACAAGAGACAGAAGGATGACAGAAACAAAAGGTCCTTCATAGTTATCATACTATTTTGATTACTATAATAATTAATGATAAAAAAGAACATAAGGGCCAGTAGAGAAGAGGGGGAAATTGAATTTAAATAAATTAGTTTTAAGGAGGAAGTATAGTTACATGTTCTGGCTTTTCTAAATCGTTTTTACGTCATTTTAATGATGATACATCCAACGAAGCTGATAATTTGGGACTCTGAAAGCTACCAATAGCCAATTCTCATGAGATGTGAGAACTTATTTCTTTAGTTGTGTAAAATGTTTTGCAAGGATCGAACCTTTCCCTTGGAATTTGGAAGATGAGTACCTTAACCAAGCAAAACACTTTCCCTAAATTATCTACCAATAAGATTTTCTATTTACAAAAAAGTTAACTAAAGGGTAGAATTTTTTTTTTTTTAACTCGTGAAACTGATAATTTGCATCACGTGAATTGAATGGGGGTTTTTTTAAATTAGTTTCGTGAAGGAAGTGAACTATATTGACGATTGTAACAAATTAATAAGAAACTAATTATTTTAACCGGACTTCCGCAAATAACGGTAAGCTTCAGAACTAACCTTTATGTCATAATTATTATTAGTTAATATAATAATGCTGCTTTTGTTTTCCAAAGTGAAACAGTACTTTCAATTTCTATGGAAAAAAATTATCACGCAATGCAGAGTTATGTAGAGCTGTAACCTAGTGGTTAAGAAGCTCTATAAGTTAACATTCTATATGTCAGGATGTTTCATCATAATTAAAGCAACTTAGACCCTTGAAGTCTTTTGAGATTAAAGCCTTGTTCACACTATCAAATTTCACGTGACAAGTAATGGGACGTGTCCATATTTTGGCGTAATATGACATCATTAAGCCCATATATGGGCACGACACAAATGTGTCACACCAAATGTGATTCTGGACAGCATGTCCACACTATTGAATTTGATGTGACAAAAATGTGATATGTCCATATTTGGATGTAATAATATGAAATTATCATGCCCATATATGGGCATATTACACAAATTTGTCAAATAATATGTAATAATGTGAGCAAGGCTTTAGCGCAGAACATTATAAACTTATATCTTGCAATTGACAAATGTATGCTATTGGATGCAAGACATTTTTTAACTACTGTAGATATAGCACATATTTGGGTCTATTATGCAACACACATATCTTCTAAAATATAACTCGGACTAAATTTATCAATATCGATTTCCATAAGACGACAAACACAATAAACAATGAAGATTCCCTAGCAAAACACTTTCTTCATTTGGCAAATGAAATTCTGGTTCACTTTGGATTCAAAGTAAATTTGATTCTTGGTCACATAATCTTGTTCTGCAATTATTCAGTTGTAATACAATTTATTTTTCTTTAGTGAGTGAATGAATTTTGTTTCTTTTTCTTTATAGGATTCCATGCAAATAAATTTAATATGCTATATACTGTAATACACTGTTTCTTGAATGATCGAAGCCACTAAAAATAATGGTATTGTGTAAATATATACTGGTAGCTAAAAATCATGGTTCCTGACATTCTAGAAGGTACCAACATGATTTTTTAGGCTGCTTGTTACCAAGGAACCTAGAGTATTCATCTAGGTGCCAACTTTACTGTGTTTCTCTAGCTGTCAGTTCCTCCAAGAGACAACATGGTGGTGCTTGTTTGGGTGTCGCCAAGAATCAATAAAGCCTTGTTGTTTTTGGTGTATGTAGGATCCCTTTCCTCTGGGTGTCACTGTCATCGGGATTATGTTTTACCAGGTGTTGTGTTGATCCTCTGGTTGTCACCATGAGACACCTTGGTCTCATTCCTTTACCTCTTAAAAGGACCCTGGTCCACTTGCAGTCACCAAGATCTTGTTCTTGTGGTTGTCAGCATGATCTTGTTCCTATAGCTCCCTCTAGGGTCTTCTTCAGCCAATATTTACCAGAACATTGACCTCCTCTATTAGGTTATCTCCTTCACTATGCTGTCGCCAAAGTATCTATAATCTAAATTAATTCTCTTCATTAATATTCCGTAGGTTGGTTTGTTTGTTTTGATGTATACTCACCTTTCATACCACTCCCTTCCTCGCGGAAACTACTCTTTTGCGACGGTTGTGAACTGGTCTCTTCATTTTGTGCTTCCGTGCTACTACCAGACGATGCTGTACTACTTTGAGGAGACAACGGAGCATGCTCATTACATTGTGATGGCAAATGCAACGATCTACTACCTCGTGTTTCAAGATCTTCGTGAGAATACCAGTCTTGTGTTGATAATGACGATTGCACCATTGATTCGGGAGGGGTTAGAGAATTCCGATTATTTTTTTGAGGAAGGTTGAGAGTTGTCGTACATCCAGCTGAATTGAAAAAAAAAAGTAAAAAAGAAGTAAATATTATAATGCACACTATCATAAAATTTAAAAAAATATTGTCCCCTGAAACTGGAGCTTCAAAAGAAATGTATTCAAAAATTTTGATCGTGATAATGGTAAAAATCATCTGTTAGATAACATAAGGTATGATTGAATGGTCTAACATGTGAAAATTTAATTTAGTAAATTTTAGTAGATGTGTAGCTGAGTTTTGAAATACTTGCAGTCTGTTGATGGATTTTAGGAAATGGATACAAAAGAGTTGAAATAATCAAGACAGTAGAAGATGAATGGGTAGAGGATCAATGTCCTAATTCTTTTGGATAGAAATATCCTAATTAGTGCTTTGATGCAAAGACGAAAGTTTACTAGATCCAAGGGGCAATGCACTTCCAGTACAAGCACTTTAACACAGTCTTTGTATTGTTAAAGATGCTATATACAGTACACACCTAACATTATTATTATGGGTAATAAAATACAACCTCTGCTGATGAGCAGCTTGTCAATGTTATATCAATAAATCTACGTCGTTGAATTATGTTGCGTCCTAAAAATATATTGCCGGTCTTGAACCACTACACATTAAGATTGCTTTTAAAAAGACTCAAGATTCAAGATTATTTTATAGTCCAAAAAACGGAAATTTTGTTGAGTGTACCATTTCAATATATTACAGATACAAAATAAAAATATTGAAAATATAACAAGAATAACAGAAAGTAACCAATATAAATATGGAAAAAGAATGGCCTATGTAAAGTGTAAGTTATTGGGTTTCAATGGAATATTATAATAAGAAAACATTTTCTTGCTTCTTAGTCAAAGCCTTTTTTAATACCTTGTTTATAATAGCAAAGTTATGGAGTGTTTTAAAAATCGTTAGAGGGTGGCGGAAGACAAGTAAAAATAACATTTTAGCAAAATGATTTTGCCAAAAGCATCTACCGTAGGCAGAGGAGAAAATAAAAATAAATATGTGCGTAGTAATGAGATCGATAAATGCTTTGTATACAATTAAGCCATATATATCTTACTTTTGAAAATTTCAGGAAAGCGGAGGGTGTAATAAAAATGAATTTCAATAAACATTTTTCTAAATTTTCCATTTTCCATGGCAGGGGTACACTAACTGGCCGAAATCTTTATTATTGACGGTCGGACAGTTCACTAAAGCAGTTACAAAATCATTTTCGCCTTTGATTTGATAATTACTGTAAACTGGCTGGTATTGAGTTCGAGGATTTTTGTTTAAAATCTATAGATCAGCGAAAATTTGACTGTTTCAATCCATGTCTCCTTGTAAGGTGACAACAGATTTGATCCTTCTAACAAAGCAATTACTGTTTTAATGAAGTTTTTTAGACTTTTTCCAGTTTACGCATCTTGTGTCATTAAGATACAAGTTATTTGCTTCAAATGGCAATATACTTAATAATAACACAGAAATCTATACCGCACATTTTGCCAAGGGATACAAGGCCCAAACAAAATAAATTTTAAAAATTGACAACAATTGGTGATCAACAATGACACCTGATGAAACAAACATTCTACTTAAATTGAATACCGGGAAAGGTAATATTATGCATCTAAAGGAAACTTTTTTCCCAATTCTTATTCAGACTTGAAAGCTACATATATATATACAAGTAAGCAAATCCAAAATTCAATATTTTAATCATTCTTTTTTTAGGTGGTACAAACAGGTTAAAGGTGGTGCCTGTATATAGACAGAAAACATTATATAGTATGCAATAAAATATGACCTATATGATATTCCGATTCATGATGGTTGAATTGTGGCATGCTTAAAAAGCAGTTTATGACTATAAACAAGATGCCGAAACCTGATATGGGATTACAGTAGGGTGCAATTTATTATATTGCTTAAAAAAAAGTTGGGTCATTTGTGCAGAAGAAGCGGGTGTTTGAAGTGTTGCACCTACAGTTATCTTTCTTCGAAGAGGAGCATAAGTAGGTACCTAGTAGGCTTGAACACCAATGTTCAAATATTAAGGATTTTTCTCTCAGTGTGCTAAAGTTGTGTTCCATACAGTAGGTATTTGAGTTAATGACCGCGATAATATTAACCGCATAGGACTTGCCATGATGTAGAATACTATAACACTAGTATATTATCCATTATTCCACAGCCATGATGTAGAATACTATAACACTAGTATATTATTACCATTATTCCATAGCCATGATGTAGAATGCTATATAACACTAGTATATTACTACCATTATTCCATAGCATAATCATCAATGCCTCATTTGCTATTATGAAAATGAGAGGAAAACACAAATATGAAAATGCAAGGAAGAAACAATGTTTAAATTTAGTAAGCATCTAACAAAAGAAAATGAATCAACTATCAAAACATAAACAACCAATCAAAGACTGAAGAAAAAAACCAATGAACAAATGGAACTTATTAATTATTTACATGACCATCTGGTTTGAAAAATATGTGAATAAGAGTGGAAAATGTGTGTCATCAGTCGGAATATGGGATGAAGTTAAATCATGTGGAAAATGAATGCATTTATCACTGTGAATACATGTATGTCAATGAACGGAGGAATGAGGCTTGCAGATTAAAAACATTCTTATATACGCACCTGTCAGAATACATGAAGTCGAGGGCCCACTAGCATGACTATTGACTGCGGGGGGTGCAGACACGGTATATGTAAGTGGGGGGTGGGACAGGTGGCTTCCAGCACTGCTACTATAATTGTTCAATGTTCCTGATGGAGTCTCGCCAATCCCGGAGTCTCTCCATCCATTGATTTTACTCCCAGGTACATAGTTAGGTTCGGTGTAATGACCATTTGTGGTATGGGTACGAGTGTATGGGGATGATGACGGTGACCCCTCCGGGGACACTCTGGGAGGGTAAACACCATGGCCATTTGCATGCTCATCTAGTCGCCCCAACCAGTACGTTAACGATCCTCGCTCGTCGTTTGTCAAAGCTGGGTGAATGAGCAAATATGATAGCAATTGACGACATTCGTCCAAATGGATACTACCCTCAAGGGAGTGTGCTAGAATTTTTGGGATAATGCTCAAGTATTGTTTCTTGGCGTCGACACTTCCAGGCTGGAGCAATGGAAGATGTGATAGCAACTGTTCAATAGCAGTCTCCTTGCTTTTACTCAGTAAACTTGCAACAAAACCTGAAAAAAAAGAAGAAATAGTTTGATAAGTTGGGTCCTCTTCAGTTCTCTCCTCCCAACCCTCAGTGCATTTACAATAAACGATACACTTTTAAAGCTGAAGTTTTCTATGATGTGGTGATTTGCCCATATAAATATGTAACGACATCCTCATGTCCATATATGGGTTGAATCACAGATATTTGTCACACTAAAAATTGGAAGTGGAATAGAGCATGATTTTAAAGTTCATATCTTGATTTATAAAACTTTTAGCTTGATAGTAATTGTACAAATTAGGCCTATTAAATGAAAGTACAAAAAAAAAAAAAAAAGAAATCAATCTGCTTACTCCAATAACATGCCCTTATAAAATCACTATAAGTATTTGCTGTCTTTTGCTGTCTTTTTAATCTACACATAATCAACCAAATAGGATGTTATTACCTTATTGACTTTGTACAATATCTGTCTTTACTGACTCAAATTCAAGGAAGTAGGGAGACAGGGTTATTAACTATCACACACTGCTGCAACCTGAAGGACGACTAGTGCGTCAATTTCAAGATGTAATTAATTTCATTATATCAAAATGCGGACTTGATTTGAGAATAATCCGACAAAAAAAATGCCACAGGCACTCACAACATCTGTACTATTTTATGCTTAAAGATGGTCATCCTGTAATAGGTTTCCTATCTAGTCATTCGAATGAATAAAAACATCCTAGATCAATTACACAGCAGGAACATGTTACAGCAAACCTGTCCTAAGTCCTATCCATTCCCAATTTCTTCCACCTTAGGACTGTCAACTAGAGTGTACTCTGTTCACTTTGTAAACAGTTTTTTTTTTTTGCCTTTTTATCAACTGACAAGTAATTAAGAGAACTACGGAATTTATGATGATCAAAATCTCACTATGAGGACAGGAGGGGAGGAATGGGGATTTTTAGAAATTTAATACAGAATCCAAAGACATGCATCTTAACCACCAGCTGATGGTCTAGATATGAGACTTAGAATTAGATAGGATGAAGATATTACTTTCTCTCTTTCACACTAAGGTGTCTCTTTCCTGGACCACTTCACTTTACCCACTCACACCTTCCAAAAAAGAGGAGCTTATCTAATCATCTATAAATGTGATAGCCACTGTGTATATGCTAAACCAGGACATTCTTTCTTATCTGGTACATGCTCCTCTCCTTGTGTCTTTGAAGTACTGAAATACACGCTACATTGACAGAGTACATCATCTACACACTACATTGATAGAGTACATCATCTACACGCTACATTGACAGAGTACATCATATACACGCTACATTGATGGAGTACATCATATACATGTTACATTGATAGAGGACATCATATACACGCTACATTGATAGAGTACATCATATACACGCTACATTGATAGAGTACATCATATACATGCTACATTGATAGAGTACATCATATACACGCTACATTGATAGAGTACATCATATACACGCTACATTGATAGAGTACATCATATACACGCTACATTGATAGAGTACATCATATACATGCTACATTGATAGAGTACATCATATACACGCTACACTGATAGAGTACATCATATACACGCTACATTGATAAGAGTACATCATTTGCACGCTACATTAATAGAGTACATCATCTTTGGATGAGACGTTTAAGCTGTAGATTCTGTGCATAATAGGAAGCGAATTGCGACGACTTAGAACATACCAACAGTAGCTGCCTATTTCTATCAAAATATCCTAGTGAATATCTACATTATACTGTATCTATTTCATAATTTTTCCATCCATTTAATTGAAGATAATTTTCCATCCATTATTCAATGCTTACATTTCCTGGCTGCTCTCCAGCTATATATTCAATTGTCTCATTATTAATTTGGTGTTTTAAATATTTATCCTGAAATAACGTAGTATATTTTTCTTCAAATATCCTAGTGAATATCTACATTATACTGTATCTATTTCATCATTTTTCCATTCATTTGAGGCATGTCGTGGTGAAATGGTTAAGTTGTCGCACAGGCCAGTATTGAGTAAATGAGCTATCAAATATGGAAGCTAAAAAAATTGCCTAAAAATCCAAATTTGTTTTTCATTATAGATCAAAAGTTTAATGTCTTATTAATCATGTACCAAAGTATTAGTTCTGGAAGTGGTCAACAAATTGTTTATTTAATGTTATTTTGATAGTTCATTCTATTAAACAATCTATACACAAATAACTTTGAAAGGCAATCACTCAAAATCATGTTTATCTTGATTCTAAGAGTACTGTACTTTCCAATAACTTAGGCTTCAAATGTCCCATTTCAATAAATGACCCCTCATTTTAAAGATCACATACTCGGGTATATGAAAATACCAACAACATGAATTTCAATTTTTGCTACAACTTAGCCATTTTGCCACAACATGCCTCATTTAATTGAGATAATTTTCCATCAATTATTCAATGCTTACATTTCCTAGCTGCTCTCCAGCCATTTATTCAATTGTCTCATTATTAATCTGATGTTTTAAATATTTATCCTGAAATAACATAGAATATTTTTCTTTGAAATAATTTAAAGTTATTTTTCATGATCAATGTCTAAGTCTTTTGTAACATACCAAAACTGTAGTAATGAGTTTTTAGTACTAAATTACATAAAATGTTTTCCATAATGCAGTCTAAAATTTTATTGCTTTATGTACATAATATCAACAATTTGATTTGAGACGACGATGAGACGTAATAAGTAATGTCACCACATACTGCCATCTGAGCATGCGAAGGCTTTCAGTTCATATTTTCCTTCAAATTCTAGGACAGGTTTGGGCTGAATCCATGTTTGTTGTGTAAACAAGCATTTTTTTTTTTATTTGTCCTAGGGAATTATTTTCATCACCAAATTAAAAGCTTCCTATTTTGGAATATTTTAACCTTGGGGAAAGAAATACTAAAACCACAGGATATGAATTTCTAGCTGGAACATAAATAAATAAATAAAATAAAGTATCATTATAAGAATGGATGATTCCATTTATTTTTAGGTGTAACTATATTAGCTTGTGTAAACATTTCATAAGTACAGTAGTCTATTTATAATGAAATGTTTCAATTAAACTATTTTGTATCTATTGAGCTTTAGGTAGGCCTACTATAAAAATATTTACTAATAATGACAATGCACAAAATAAAATATTTAATATAATTTCATTTCATTTCATTTCTTTAGGCACGAGTGCCAAGGATATGCCAATAATAAGTTAACTTAATCACTGTCCTACGTGGTATATCCAATTAACAACAGGGGATTTAAGGGACCAGTATACCGGGGTAACCCCCTACTCTTCTCGAAGGATGTACTGGGTTCTTTAAAGTGCAAATGGGACAAATGCGTACACTGGGCCTACGGTTTAAAGTCCTTATCCGAGATGACTTGTTCCACCACCGGAACCATTTGCGAGTGAGCTGTTTGACCCAGCGCCGATATTAGAGCTGAAGGTTGCGGTGCCCCTGACTTAACCGCTCGGCCAATGAACTCGCCAAATTTAACATTATTTATTATTATTTAATATCTAATATTTATTAATAATATCTAATATTTAATAATAATTTTGTTTGTTATACTCTGTATCAGTAAAGTTTGTAATCTTTTCCAAAGTGCTATTCTATGTTTTAATGTAATTTTTTAAGGCTTATTTCATGCAAGATGGTATATTTCTAAAAGTGACAAGTTATACAAAGTAAAAAAAGAATAAAATATAGGATGTGCAACATTGTACTGGCAAGAACTGGGATAGTATGATATAAAAATAAGATACTCATGTACTGTACCTACTCAGTCTATGATCGCCAGATGCTTTCTAAGAAAACAGCTTTACAGTAGGATACTGTACGCCTACAGTAACTATCAATATTGAGCTAACAATATACATAAAGTTCAAAATTTGAATTGATTTTACTTTGCACAAATTTAGATCACAATTTGACTTATTAGAAAATATTTTCCCTGAAAAAAACAAAAACAAGATGGATTCTGTAGTTGCAATGCAGATTCTTACACTTATTGACAGACAATTCTAGTTAAAAAAAAAAAATCCAGTAACAAAAATGTTTTCATGCGAGTCTCATTTTAAATTTAATATTTAACATCTTTAAATCAAAAATGAGGAATTCAGTGTTTTAATAAAATCTCTAATTTTTAATGAGGTATAGTATTAGTATCTACTGTACAAAGTCTGTTTGATTCTGGTACTGTTTAGCATTAAGCATTTTAACAACCACTGGACTCATTAACAATAATATAAACAACACCAATTTGCAGACACATTTGCTAATGTAATCTAGTGACCGTATCATAACGTAATAACATAAACGTGAAAGGACTCTCCAATTACTGTACATGCGATCATCAGCAAGGTTGGTGATACTAAACATTAATATAATACGTATTTAATATACTGTATATAATAAGTATTTACAAATAGATGCATATTTTTTCCTATTTTGTTATGTTAGCGCAATATTATCACTATGCTATTTCACTATCTTGTATGTAGAAAAATATCCTTTGTGATTTATGTACAATGTCTCTCTGCTAAGTAAAGTATTACCATTCTATTTTGGATGAGAAATATAAATTAGATGAAACCAGTTACATGAGCAATAACGAATGCACTACTGTATGATAGCGAAACAGAGCATGATTACATTTTCAAACCGATACACGGATGAATGCTGTTTTAAATTTACTGACTAAAGCAATGCATTATCTTCGTATATCCTGCCATGCTGTTTCATGTAGCTCATATGCTGTTTCATGTAGCTCATATTCTGTTTCGAGTTACCAAGTGGTGTGATGGTCGTCCCCATCCGCTTGCTTTTCCTTCATAAAATGTAATCATCTTGTACTACTTAGCAATTGAATAGCCTAGGTCGACGACCCTTGAGGTGTGAGTCTCAACGTTCATTTTCATGCAAGACCAATTAATTTTTATTTATCCT